TAGCCTCTCAATGTAGTCACAGAATCATAGAATCACTGAGTTGGAACAACCAATAGTGAAAGGACCAAGGCAGTGACATCTCCAGCTCATCCCCTGTTTGGGTATCAGCTAAAACAGTGGATGTGGCTCTCAATGAGATATGCCGCATTATCCTGGGGTGTCTGCGCCCTACACCACTGGAGAAACTACACAGTCTAGCCGGTATTGCAGCACCTGACATCCGCCGGGAAGTAGCAGCCAATAGTGAAAGGACCAAGGCAGTGACATCTCCAGCTCATCCCCGTTTGGATATCAGCCAGCATGTCAATGACTTAAATCAAGAAATAGTTTTCTAAGATCTACAGAGACACTCGCTGGAACACCTCAGCATGTGAGAGTCCAAAAGTGGCAGGCTCAAACCCAGAACCTCAATCAATGGCTGATACCAAATAAGAGACTCCCCCCTGGGCACACAGAAAACTGGGCGACTTGGAAGGTGCTGAACAGACTGCGCTCTGGCACCACGGGATGCAGAGCTAACCTTAAGAAATGGGGCTACAAAGTGGAATCCACGACATGCGAGTGTGGAGAAGAGCAAACTACAGACCACCTGCTGCAATGCAATCTGAGCCCAGCCACATGTACAATGGAGGACCTCCTTGCAGCAACACAATTTAATCAACTGCCAAGCCTGCAAACTTTGTGTTTTGTTTGTTTGTTTGTTGAAAAATGCATTGCAACTGTTTGGTCTGCTCCTGAAACGATAAATAAAAATATTGAGTTGGAAGAGACCTCGTGGTTCATCCAGTCCAAACCCTGCCAAGAAACAGGAAAATCGCACAAAACTGTTTGTGTACATTGAGCAGAGATGTCACTCTCTCAGCCACCCATGTGAACCAATTTGGAACATTTCGGATTTCTGGATATTTATTTATCGTGTCAGGAGCAAACCAAACTGTTGTATTGCATCAAAACACACACACACACAAAGTTTGCAAACTTGGCATTCTATTAAATGTTCTTTCTGGATTTCTGGATGTGGAGTATCCCAATACAAATGAGAGTTACAATATAGATGGACTTCTAAGCTAAGGTGCAGGTTAGGGACCAAAGCAGGATAAATCTATTCTGGGGTTAAGTCAGGAAGAATCCAGCCACATCAGCAGCATCTGAGCATCGGTGTAAATAAGTAAGAAAGGATTAGCACAGGAGTAGGGAATCATTCTGCCTTCCATTGTGCCATTGGATGCTGAATCCATTCAAACATAGCTACTGGTTACTTATTTATTTATTTATTTATCGTGTCAAAAGTGAGTTGGGGTACAGTTAAAATGCATTTAAAATTTTAAAAAAAGAACCTAGCATTATGCTAAATGTTCTTTGACCAGTAGCTGGCTACTTGGAGTGCCTCTGGTGTCGCTGTGAGAAGATCCTCCATTGTACATGTGGCAGGGCTCAGGCTGCATTGTAGTAGGTGGTCTGTGGTTTGCTGTTCTCCACACTCGCATGTTGTGGACTCTACTTTGTAGTCGCATTTCTTAAGGTTAGCTCTGCATCTTGTGGTGCCAGAGCGCAGCCTGTTCAACACCTTCCAGGTAGTCTACTCTTCTGTGTTCCTAGGAGGGAGTTTCTGATCCAGTCTCAGCCACTGATGGAGGTTCTGGGTTTTAGCCTGCCACTTTTGGACTCTTGCTTGCTGAGGTTCCTGTGAGTATGTCTGTAGATTTTAGGAAGCTGTTTTTTTATTTATGGCGTTGGCATGCTGGCTGATATCCGAACAGAGGATGGGCTGAAGATGTCACTGCCATTGTCCTTTCATTATTGTCTGCTACTTTCTGGCAGATGTCAGGTGTGCGATACCAGCTAAACAGTGTAATTTCTCCAGTGGTGTCAGGCGTAGACATCCTGTGATAATGTGGCATGTGTCATTAAGAGCTACATCACATGTGGTGAGATGTTTTCCACACAGGGCATGCGTATTCAGCAGCAGAGTAGCAAAGCACAAGGGCAGATGTCTTCACTATGTCTGGTTGTGATCCCCAGGTTGGTAAATAGCTAGTGGTAAAGACTGCTGGGATTTGCAATCAGCTAGTATTTGGACTCTGCATGACTTCCACTTCTGGATCAGCGGAGAAGTGTTGTAATTACAATTGGTAATATAAGGAGTAGTGTTTCTGTAAGTGTTGACTCACCAAATTTCCCATTTATTAAATGAGCCTACTGTGTGGTGTTACCAAGATTTGGAAGTGCTCTAGAATATTTTGGTCTCCCACGCAGGTGCCTATATTCCTCCCTCCGAATAGAAACAGCGGCTGCAACAATACAATTCTAGAGGTATGCTGAAAAGAAAGTCACATTTAGTTCCGTGAAGTGAAGCCTTGCTCCCAAATGTGAGGGTGCAGGACTGCATTTGACAGTCTAGCTTAACATCCTTTATTCCAACTGGCATCAGCTGCAGAGACACAGGTAGAAACCTTTAATATTAGCTGTGGATGTCACATTCTTTTCTTACTGAACTGTGAGCCTGCGCCCTTATTTATGCAAAGTCTGTGGTAGCCTACCACTTTGCATTGCAAGGCAAGGCTCATTTATACATTATGGAAAAATCATAAGGAAAAGGAACTGATGAATTTCAAGTGCTGCTGCCCTGATAACATCATTGCTGTTTTCATGTGCCTTCAAGTTGTTTGACTTACGACAATCCCAAGACCGGGTTTTTAACCTTCCTCTGAGGTGGAGACAGCGAGACCTGCTTAATGCATCCAGGGGGTTATCAAGGAGTTCAAATCCTGCTCTCCCAGAATCTTAATCCAGCACTTAGACCGCTATACCATGCTGTCTCTTTCTGATACATTACAGTCACTTCAAACATCAGTCTCCTCCGCCTTGTTCTTCCTTACCAAAAACATGGAATCTAGCTACAGACTTTAAGTTCTGATATCCCCCATTGTCTTGAGACTGCTAGGAAAATGGATGAGAGAACTTGAGGAGTTGCTTACAACAAGTCAGACAGTTGGTGCTTCTATCTCAGTACTTATGGATTGGCAGGTCTCCAGGTTTCAGACAGAATTTGTCTCAAAGACTGTCTAGCAATTTCCATCTTGAGATAGCTCATTTATGTGGATGTCTTCTAAAACTGCAAATCCCAGGTTAAAATTCTGTCAACAAAAGAAGCTGAATTTTGCAAGATTGCCATGGGAAGACTAAACCACACAAACATTATTCAATTATTTGGTTAAATGAACTAGTCAGGGTGACTGAGGTTAGTTAGATGTAGAACTCATTTGTGTTTAATAAATCCAAGACCATTTTTGAGGACCAGTGACATTCATGCTGAGTTAAGCACACATGCTCAAAGTCCAAATTAGGGCTCTTTCATACAGCCGTATATCCCAGAATATCAAGGCAGGAAAATCTCACAATATCTGCTTTGAACTGGGTTATCTGAGTCCACACTGTCATATATTCCAGTTCAAAGCAGATAATGTGGGATTTTCTGCCTTGATATTCTGGGATATAGGGCTATATGGAAGGGTCCTTAGTGGACTAACATAGCAGGAGTAAATCTGAGTTGGTTGGATATTGGTGACCAATCAATAGGGATGGAGCTGACACATGAAGATAATCCTACGCAAACCTCTGAGCCCTTCAAACCCTATAGAGCAGAGTTTTCCAAACTGTGTGTCAGGTCAGCTGCAGCGTGTGAGTGTGTTGCATGAACGTAACAAGAAGCTTCTATATTTTTAAAATGTAAATGAAAGGTTTTCATGAGATATGTTGTGTCCCCATACATTTTGTTATTATAATGTAAGCACGTGTCTGTATCTCTTTTAAGAGGTTGGATTAACCTCTGGTTTGCTTGTAGTATTTAAGTTACTGTTTTACGAAATGATGCACGTCTAAAAAGTGTTTCGTCAATATGAAATGTTTGGAAAGCTCTGCATTAGGAGGATTATTTCTTAGACAGTAAACCACAGTAATGTATTTGGTGTCTTGGCATATCGATTTGTGTCCCTTACTAGGACTTTGGAGACCAGTGGTTAAATCCCTGTTCAATTATAGAAACCCACTGGGTGACATTGACCGAGTCAAACACACCCAGCCCCAGAAAGGAGCCCCCAGTGGTGCAATGGGTTAAACCCTTATGCTGGCAGGACTGCTGACAGGCAGGTCAGCGGTTTGAATCTGGGGAGAGCAGGTGAGCTCCCTATGTCAGCTCCAGCTCCCCATATGGGGACATGAGAGAAGCCTCCCACAGGATGGTAAAACATCAAACATCCGGGCATCTCCTGGGCAACATCCTTGCAGATGGTCAATTCTCTAACACCAGAAGTGACTTGCAGTTTCTCAACTCGCTCCTGACACGAAAAAAAGCCCCAGAAAAACTTATGATAGGTACACCTTAGTGTTGCCATGAGTTGGAAACTACTTGAAGGCACACAACAACATTGTAAGGATAATATGTTGCCTGAGAAGTGAATTGCTCAGATTTGGTAGTGAAGATACACATGGTCAGGCCACTGAAAAAGCAAATCAAGTTTTTGAGAACTGGTTTGCCACTATAGTTGTGGAACATTTGTCAAACCCCAAATTTTCTAGAAAACAGAGATAACTGGGATAACGTTATAACTGTAACATCTCAACTTGTTGGGTGAGTTAGGGTGCTTTTTGGAAAAAGTGATGGGGATGTTTGCTTCATCATTCTTAGATCAAATTAATTTGAAGCCACCACACTGTTATTGGAGTTTTAAATGGAGCAATAATATGTTACTACTGAAATTTATTCAGTAAGATATTCAGTGATACTAATATTTAACTGGAGCAATTAAATGTGGAGAGAATTTAATGTAGAATTAGAAATTCAACTATATTAAAATTTAATTGGAGTAATTATGTGTAGAAAGCAGAAATGGGTGAAGATTTGAAAAAGTTTTTTAGGTTCTAGCTGAAGAGTGAGGCTTGCAGAGATTTCAATGGGAATTTATTTCTCACTATGTTTGCCTTGTGCCTTCTGTGCAGCCATGACAGCAGCAGGTAGTGCCAATGGTTTTGGCACCACAGCTTGGTGGGGATTTTCTCCAGCGCTTGACCTGCAAGCCACATGTATGTACCACTTCTACCACCAATATTTTTCCGCCTCTTTTACAGTGAAATTTGACCTCCTTGTCGCACAGATCATGTGAGGAATTTGAAACTGCTTCTTCTAGCTAAATGCATATAACTTAGTTGTGATTTCTTTGATTGTGCGAAGTATCTGCAAAATGCCCAGATTCTGCCCAGCAATTGATATCTAGTGAAACAGAACTTCTGTCTAGGTACCACTTGTCACATGAAACCAGAGGGCCGCTGTTTTCCATATTAGGTGTCTTTGATTTTAAAAAGGAAAGTTTTAGTGCCAAGATATACCTAGCGTATTTCTTTTATTATTCCATTGAACTCTGGCACAGAATTTGATTTGCTGAAGTGACATTTATTTGAAGTAAAATACAGGCAGTCCCCAAATTGCAACAAAATCAATTCTGCAGGTTGGAATTAAAGTTGAATTTGTATGTACACACTCACACACACACACACACACACACACACACACACACACACACACTGGATAGCATAAGGAAAGGTTGATGCCCCAGTGGTGTTTGTTTTGCTGTCTGTGCCCCTGTTCAGAATATTTCATCTCATTTTCTGTCCCTATGATAATTGGATTTTGAAAAATGTAGCTTGTTGTGGAAGCAAGGATTGATGAGAAAGCTTCGTAGATACCTCTTTTCCCATGATAGCTCTTTCAGGAGTGAATTTCCCTTCCAAGGGGTGGATTTTTCTCACTTCCTGTTGTCTCACTTCCATTCTTAACTATGAGTTGTTTATAAGTGTGATGTTTGTAACTCAGGGACTGCCTGTACAACCTATCTATGGATTTGTAGATCCTGAAAATGCAGAGATATGTTTGAAAAAGTCCCAGTTGTCAAAAGACACTGATAGAATCCTGTTTGGGGACTTAGGTCATAAGTGGATTTACATCTGCAGGAACTGAAATTGGACAGTTTTGTAACATCCATACCAAGTAAACATCTGCTGTTATGTTACCACATAGGGCAGTGGTTTTCAACCTGGGGTCCCCAGATGTTTTTGGCCTACTACTCCCAGAAATCCCTGCCAGTTTACCAGCTGTTAGGATTTCTGGGAGTTGAAGGCCAAAAACATCTGGGGACCCCAGGTTGAGAACAACTGACATAGTTGCAAAATGACCAATGTACGTTGGGACAAATGCACATCAGTTCTGCTGTGAATTGAAACACTGTCTGTGGAGTGCTGGTGTACATCAGATGACTCTTGCTGGTGTCCCATTACACATCTTCACAATTCACTAACAAGGTTTCTAAAATATAGCTAAGTACATGTAAAATTACATAATATATATCATGATAGAGGGTTTTGGCCTATAGCTGTAAAGCCTGTGACCTTTTCTAGAAGGATCTCTCATTGTAGCTTCCGGGCTTGTTCTTCTGCTTAAAGTACATCTCTCAGCAGACAGATTTCCAGAGATGAGTCACTCTGGAAACACACTCACTGCATTTTAGATACAGGTGCCATCTTCTTCTGTTGATCTTGTTCATTGACAATCTCTTTTTCTGCTTTACAGCAGAACATTGGTTTTCAAAAAGCAAATGGGATACGTCTTCAATCACAAAACCATCTATAAGCTCTGGCCTTTTTGGTATTAAACATACACACCCTTTAAAATAGGAAATTAAAACAATGAAAATAAATGTTTACATTCCCCATGTAGGTGTTTCAGAAATGAAGCACACAGCTTACTCCCAGCATGGCCAAGACACAGTTTCAAGTGGATTCCACTGATAAGTGAATGCCCAGGAAGAACAGAATTTGCCCTTTAGCCATAAAGCCAATGCTGACTCCTTCAAATATGGCTTGAGTCAGCTTTATATGATCATCTCTCCCACCATCTTCATAATCATCACCAAACAACTTTCAAAGAGGCTTTCAGTGAAAGCCTGCATATAACTCCAATATAATTAGAGAGAAGTTCACAGTGAGAAAACAGAATTTGCCTTTAATGTAGTGCATGAACAACCATTTCACTTACCAAACAGGTCTGGAGTCCTCTATGGAACATCTGCAGCCATCCCAGGATGGTATTCCTGAACTGAACATCCTGCTTGTGGGATCTATAGATGGACGTCATATCTTCAAAACAATGAGTCGACTGTGCCGATGGCCACGGAGAAAAATCAATGTGTGTAAATCTCTTAATTATAGGTTTATCTTAAGAGGTGTGTGATTTGTTATATCTTTATTTTGTATTTTGCAGCTTTTCTAATCATTGCTCAGAAGTGTATTTTCCTCATATTTTACTTCCCTGAAATTCACTGCTGTCAATGTGGCATCTGACAGAGATGCTTTGACAACTATTTAACAAGAGGAACTTCTCAGATCCTGGGTGGCTAGTGCTGATGTCCCATCAAAGCCCAGGGGGTTGACATATGCGAGGGGGCAGGATATAAAGCTGAAGAAATGCCATAATGGAGCAGGGTGGGTCACACAAGCAGCATCCCAGCAGGCCCTTTCCCTTCCCATTACAACTCCTACGAGGCAACATTCACCAGCAGCGCATCCTCTTGTGATGTGACCTTCCTTCAACAGGAGGTGGCAAATCGGCAGCACTCCCCCTCGCAGCCAGTGCTTTTGAGTCTCATTTCATGACAAGGGGAATTTGCTTTTATGAGTGAGGAAGAATGAATAAGGCAAGGGGAGGGGAGTTCAGAGTCTTGTTTTAGTGTCCAAGTATACTCACACTGCTAAGATTTTTGGAATTTTGCACATAGGAGTAAATTCTAGTGGGCTACAGTGGGAGAGAGAATGTAAAGGTGCTAGAATCCTTTGGGTAGTTTATTTTGGACTAAACCAGGCCGCTTAATTTGGTACATTAAGCAAAACCTTGATCAGAATGCAAATGGAGAAAGCAGCATCGTTATAGTGTTAGAATGCAGTTCAAAGATACCTTCTTGCCTTCACAGTGTGCCCTCCAAGTGTGCCCTCCTTTTTTTGGGAATGGTGATTTGTTTGCTTAAGTTTTTTCTAGTCTCAAAGAGTTCAGGAGTAGAGTGCACATTTAGTACACAGATGGTCCCAAGCTGTGGCCCTGTCATCTCTGAGTTCAAACCCCCGATTCAGGTATCTGGGATGGTACAGAGAGACTTTAGCTTTAAATGTCACTATACTAGGCAATCCTAGGGCCTTTCCACACAGCCATATAACCCAAAATATCAAGGCAGAAAATCCCACAATATTTATTTATTTGTTTGTTTCATTTATATACTGCTTTTCTCAACCCCTAAAGGGACTCAAAGTGGTTCACAACAAAACAAAGGGCAAAATTCAATGCCTCACAATATAAAATGCATTACATAACTAAAATAACATATAACAGTAGATTAAAACCAATAAACTATGAAACATTGAATGTAAACAAACATAAAACATAAGACATTCAACTTTGCACCAATCCCAGGATATCTTGACTACTTAATCTCACTCCCAGAATGCGTGTTTGAAAAGCCACGTTTTGAGTAGTGTCCTAAACGTCAATCTGATTTTGCTGGGGAGGGAGTTCTGAGGGGACTCCACAGGACAATGGCTGTGGGGTCAATCAGGTGTCCCCCAGCGCCAGCTGCGCCCGTACCTTGGGAAGTCGGATCTGGCCACGGTGGTCCACGCTCTTGTTACATCCCGATTAGATTACTGCAACGCACTCTACGTAGGGCTGCCTTTGAAGACTGTTCGGAAACTCCAACTAGTCCAGCGGGAGGCAGCCAGACTGCTCACCGGAGCATCATACAGGGAGCATACCACCCCCCCTGTTGTGTCAGCTCCACTGGCTGCCGATCCAATTCCGAGCACAATTCAAAGTGCTGGTTTTGACCTACAAAACCCTATACGGTTCCAGCCCAGTGTATCTGTCCGAACGGATCTCCCTCTACGTCCTACCTCGGAGTCTAAGATCTTCTGGGGAGGCCCTGCTCTCAACCCCACCTCTATCACAAGTGAGATTGGCAGAGATGAGGAGCAGGGCCTTCTCAGTGGTGGCCCCTCACCTGTGGAATTCACTCCCCGGGGAAATTAGATCAGCGACATTCCTCCTTTCCTTTAGGAAAAAATTGAAAACTTGGATTTGGGACCAGGCATTTGGACATTCTGGCAGCTAAAGAAAGGACTTGACGATGGACAGGAATTGACTAAACGGAATGGAATTATGGAACTCTGAACATGAGATTAGTTTTATTGATTGTGTTATGTACTGATTGTTTTAACTTGCAAATTGTTTTAACTGCTGTTTTGTATGTATGTATATCTTGTGTAGGCATCGAATCGTGCCTTTTTGTAAGCCGCCCTGAGTCCCCCCCGGGGGTTGAGAAGGGCGGGGTAGAAGTACCAGAAATAAATAAATAAAATAAAATAAACATCTTCTGAAACCGAGCCTCTAAGAAGGACTGGAGCCACTGTAAAACAGTATCTGCTTTGGATAGGGTTAGCTGAGTCCACACTCCCATATCTTCCAATTTGAAGCAGAAAATGTGGGATGTTATTCAGCTGTGTGGAAGGGGCCCTACTCGACTTCATCGGCTGGGAGGGAAACTGTTTAATACATGCTCCCCTAATTCCTTCTCTCCTTGCCTCAGTTCTATGTGCTAGAGAACAATCTGGAAACTATAGGTCGGCAACTGCTGTTTTTAAGTCTAGCTCTGGAGCCTTCAGCAAAAATGGGACTTCAAGGTGAGAGGAAAACAACAACACTTCCCCCAACTTCTTATCAAACTTATATCCTTCTGTAGGGAAAAACAGAGATAGTAGGGGTTGAGAAATGTTCTAGAAGATAAACGTCTAAGGAATAGTAACACAAGTCATGTTTCTCCTTTTTAATCCCACCCAAGAGAAGAGTGAAACATTTTTGGAGCTCATGGGGAATACCCTTCTCCGAAGCCAGACTGCTTCCTATTTGCAGGAGAAGGCAAGCCTCTTCATACAATGTGTCACAGACTCTGATTTCCAAGTAACCCATCTGCCCAGTGTGGACTTGTCTCGACTCAAGGTAAAATACAAAATAACCCAGCAGTATATTAATGGAGCCAGGCCACTTCATACCTCACATTCCTTCCCATTCTATCTACCACACCAGCAGTGAACAACTAGGAAGCAGCATTACTTCTTCACAAGACCTTGAAGGCTTACAGATATCCTGAAAACAAAGTTTGCTTCTGAAAAGGATTGGGGAAAAAAATTATTTGTTTTTAATGTCCCTCCAGGGCATTTTTCACCTAGGAGAGGCCCCTTTAACAACAGGAAACAACTGTTGACTACTTCTTATTTTTAAAAATGACTTTCAGTGATCTAAAATGGTCCTGGGGGCAGAAATATGGCAAAAGTGCCTTCACAGGGCATTGGGGTAAATGGGGTCCTAGATTTTACCCATTCTTGCACAATTATTTTGTCTTGTCAGAAATAACACTTGGGGACCCTAGTTCCAGCAACTGACTAACATATTTTGTTTCTTGGATAGTTCAAGGAGAGAGATCAGTTGGAGTCTATATTCCGGTTCTGGAGAAACCCCGACCCACAGGCTTTCCAAATCAAGCAGCTCTGGGACTTGAGAGTCCGGCAGTATCTGGGCAGCCGCTATGATGCTCACCGTGGGGTGTGTGACTGGGATCTTACTATGAAGCTTCACGAACATGGGGTGTGTAACAATGGTCAAGCAAGTCCTCGTAGTTCTGTTTGGGGCTGCTGTTAAGGAAAGGCCATGAAGAGAGTCCCTGACTTTGCTGCCTTTCTGTTGAGATTTTTTTTCTCCTCCTAGGCCAATATGATAAACATCCGTGAGTTTTTCCACTGGCGTGACACAGGCATAGCCTTTGAAATGCGAGAAGGTGCCTATGACATCCCCAACAAGACATTGGCATCTGGTCGCCTTCTTAGACATGTGAGCTGCCATGTTTTTTTGAGAGTCTGAAGTCTGGTTGTCCTAGGCCAAGGACAGAGTATGAGGATGGGTTCTCTCTACGTGGGGATGGGGGAGGATATAATATAAAGAGGGTCGTTTATATCCCATGAGAAGATCCCTTCTATCTGGTTGCTTTTTATGTATTTATTTAATTGTCCATTGCATGTTTTATACCAGGGTGGGAACTGCAAGCTTTTAGCCACTTGCAGCTCCTGAACGCATTTTTGAGGAACCATGGCAATGCAATTTTCTTGCCCTACATTATTATTATTATTATTATTATTATTATTATTATTATTATTATTTGAAACACAACAAGATGAGTCCACAGCAGACACTCTGCTGGCTGTTGTATTGGACCACACGTCGGATATTATTATTATTATTATTATTATTATTATTATTATTATTATTATTACATGGGGGGAAATACAGTTTTGCTAAGAAAAATATATAACATAGGAGGTGGGTGCTCCAGCAAGTTACTCTGGGAGCCAATGTAGTGTCCTAAACCCCCAGAGTTGACTGCCCTTGTTTTATACCACCCAGAGTACTCAAGCACATATGCTGCCCCTCCCACGTTTATAGTCACAGCAGCTCTGCAAGATAGTTCAGGCTGAGAAAGAAAGATTGATTTTACAACACAATCAAGATCTCAACTCTGTGATTCTATGGAATGAGTTTTTCAAGGCTGAACAGAAGTTTGAATGCCGTTTTTTCCTAGTCCAGCACTCTGAACTCAATCAGCCCAGACATTCCTGTTACTGCAGCATCATGGATGATGCACTAAAATCTCTGTCTTGCTTCTGAAATAATACAAGAAGAGAGTCTTACTTTATAACTCTCCATTAATTAAAGTCTATTGTGATGCAGTTGCTTTACTCAGTTATTTTAAGTACATATCCAGAGATTAAGTCTGATTATGCCTATGATTCTGAGGCCAGCTGTTTTCAAAGTGCTTCTTCCTTACCAGACTCCAATATTTGTTCTTAATTCTCTTAGATTCCATCTTCCCCTTCTTTCCAATCCATTTTGCCAGGGCTAATTGACAATTAGGATGAAATATCAACCTTAAGATTTGTAGCAAAAATAGAGTTTTGTAGCACCTTAAAAGTATGCATGCTTATTACATGGTATAAGCTTTTGTGAATAGTCACCTACTTCAGACGTCCTTCTTTGTTGAGATACAGTACTTGTTTTTGGGATACCTGACATGCTTCCCATTACCAGTCCCTACACTACAAAGAGCAGAACAGAATATTCCAGGGAAAGCATGCATTTTCACGTCTCATGTTTGCTTTGAAACTCTAATGTAAAGTGTGAAGGGATTTATAGTAGTGAACTGGTAGATGGGAGAGTATAGCGTGCCCATCAATTTGGTTGCCTGCCAAATTTTCCCTATAAATCCTAGACTGTCTTTGTAATTGCTTTTTCCCCTGCTGGGGTCTTTAACTAATAGGCAGTGGTCTTGGGGAGAGTGAGACATCTAATCCAAATTTTTCATTATTCATTTTTGTCCTCCCAGAAAGGGGAGCCTCTTCCAGCACGGGGATACTGGGGAGACATAGCCACTGGCCCCTACATCACCTTTGGAATTGAATCTGAAGATCCCAGTCTGCTGAAGACAACCAATGGCATCCCCAGTAAAGTAAGCTATAAAATAACCTAGAATGAAAATTGAATAAAAGCTAGATCCAGAGTTGGCAAACAACAGGGGCTCAAAGTGAGGCTTTTCCCAAACCAATCTTTTCTGTATTGACAGAGTTCCCAAGATATATCATTGCACAATATCACTGACTTGTTGTCAGAACTCCAGAACAATGATCACTATGACCCATTGGCACCTTCTAATGAGGATGGCAGTGGTGACTATACCAGGTTGGATACTTCCAATGGTAAGTACCTGGTCATGCTCTCTAAGGAAGTTACATGGAATATCTTGGGGTGGAGACCCCAACAGATTAATGTGTGTTTACTTGTTTGTTTGAATGGGTTTAGATCATTCTCTGGCCCTAAGATTTCAGCATTGGTTTCATATATTATGTGACTCTTTGCCAACAGGAAAATGGAGTCAGGGAGAATAAATGAGCAAATCAAAATGATGTTTAGATGGTTAAATATCCTTTCCTCCCCTCTACCGCACTCCCATACGCTCCAGCAGCAGGCCTCTTTCGCTCTGATGCTGCACTTTTGAGTGGCTGCTGAAGGAGAAACCTAACATTTGGTTATAGGAGCCCCCAATGATGCAGTGGGTTAAACCCTTGTGCTGGCAGGACTACTGACCAACAGGTTAGTGGTTCAAATCTGAGAAGCAGGGTGAGCTCCCATCCATTCGGGGACATGAGAGAAGCCACCCACAAGGATGGTAAAATAGCAAACATCCGGGCATCCCCTGGGCAACGTCATTGCAGGCGGCCAATTCTCCCACACCAGTAGCAACTTGCAGTTTCTCAAGTTGCTCCTGACACCAAAAAACCCAAAAACATTAGGTTTCTGCTGGAGAAAACTCAACACAGCTGGAAATGGTTTACATCTTTTCAACCTCCCTCATTTTGTGATGTAGCTCTCATCTTTGAGTGGCTAAGAAGTTGAGGCATCATCCATTTCTAGTTGGAAAAAAAAATCCCAGATAGCAAGGGTAGGGAAGATCTTTCTGCTTCACTGCCAGTGTAAACAGACTGGGCTGGCTGGACCAGTAGGATCCCTTGGTGTGAAATGTCTTCATATGTACTTATGTTTTCATAATACTGGAAAATGGATTATCCTGTCTATTACAAGTTTACCCCACACTTCAATGCAGAAAGCTAGCTGCTTGCTTCAAAATGTCTGCTTTTCATCTCTAAACTTTTTGACCTCTAAATTCTTCTGTTTTGCTTTTCCTCTCTAAACTCTAATCCCTGTTGCAGAAAGGCAATGATTTCCAGTTTGCATCCCCAGTTATCAGAATGTATCTGTTCTTCCATTCGTTTGCCTTTGTCCAGTCTGACTTCTGCGTCCCACCACCATCACTGTTTGTGTGTTTCCAATAACACAGGGCCTTTCACCACAGAAGATATCCGAGTCTGCTTCCTGCCTCTCAACTGTCTCTCTGAGCTCCATCACAAAGACAAATATCAACAACTCTTCAACCTCATCTTCTTCTCTTGCAGGTATGGAGGGGGTGAAGGCCTGAGACTTTTGGGAAAGACTTATGTGGAAACAAATACTGGAATCAAGGTTCTTGTGTCTTCTGTGGAGAAAGGAGGGATTAGTCAGTTGTGTTGGGAACCAGAGCTTTTGAAGAAGGCCAGAGTGTCGCACAGTGAAATCAGGAAAATTTGTAGTCACCTTATTTGGACTACATGCCAGTCATAGTGCTCAACTGTACCACACAGTGATTCCCAACCATTGGTCCTCCAGGTGTTTTGGGCTTCAGCTCCCATCATTCCTAACAGCTGGTGAGTTGAAGTCCAAACACTTGGAGGACCAAGGATTGGGAACCACTAGTATAACATAGAGTTCGCTTACCTGTCCTCTTTGTTTCCAAATTTAAAGTAACGGTGTATTATGATCTCTATGGTTAACATTTAGCAAGCCAGACACCTGCCCTGCCTTTATCAGTACATACACAGAAAACCACCTAACATTAACCCTTGATTCTTAAATCCCTTCTATACTGCCATATAAAACCCATATTATCTGCTTTGAACTGGGTTATATGGCAGTGTGGACTCATATAATCCAGTTCAAAGCAGATAATGTGGATTATCTGATTTGATACTCTGGGTTATATGGCTGTGTAGAAAGGGCCTTAGTGAAACCCACTGGGTTTTGTGATCTGGCATGATCTAAACAGTACCACCCAACCACATTTGGCAAGTTTCTCCTTCATTGCAGTGAGCTCTCTCAAATGCTTCTTTCCAATGTTTTGCCTTGTTTCCAACAAACACGCACACATTCATATTCAAAGTGCTGTCTTCTCAGATAAGTACGTTTGCTTGTTTATCAAGTTTTATACATCAATTTTCTGCCAGGGTACAGGGCTTGCAATGTAATAAACATTATACAAAAAGGGATAAGGAGGACAAAAGATGGAAAGGAAAGAGGAAAATAATCTAATAACCAGCTAGTGGAAGGAACAGTGTGGCTAAATTTTTAAACAACTCTCAACCATGTTTGATGCTGGGAACTGCAGTGCCCCCAGGGGAAATTTCACGCATGCAGCACCGTCAGCACACACACACTGCCGTTGTAAGGCAGGAGGGAACTTCTATAGGAAAATAGTTTTTTGTTTCCCCAGGAGCAAACCTTGAGAAAGTACATAGTAATTTAGTCAATTTCAAATTGAAGGATGTCTGTACATCACCAGTCAGGGAAGTTACATTGATAAGCACTTTGTCACTACTTATCTCCTCCTCTTTGTTTGTGTTTTGTAGCATGGTGCACTTCCTTCAACCAAATTTGAATCTGATGTCAGCCACAAAAGCCACTCTCATTGTGGAGTTGACAAAGTAAGTATTATTTTCTTCACTATTTGACAGCAGGATCCTCCCACTGCACACAATATGCAAAAATTAGCCCACTTTTCTTGCAGTAGATAGATTCCTTGGATTGGAGCTGAAGCCCTATACTCAAGCCCATGCTATGAGGTTATCTGAGTGGTAACCTAGCCTCCCTGGCAGGGTCTGTGTTTTTTAATTATTTGATTGCAGTTATTTGGGAACTTCTTGGCATCTGATTATGTATTGTTTACCTTTGCAATCCTCAGAGTTTTATTGTATGTCTGGAGTACAATATATTCAGCTTCTTAAATTATGCTTATAAGAAAAGGTTATATCCTGGCCTTCACTTAATATCCAAGGCATTCCCAGTATCTTCACATTAAAATGAATGCAGGGTGGGAAAGACCTTTTACTGTCCTAACACAGAGAGTTGAAGCCATTTAGAAAAGGAAGTACTAAACCACCAGTGACTGGTGCTCTTTGGAAATGCTAAAACAAAAATAGCAGATGGAGTTTGTATCATCATTAGGCACAGCTGGAACATAATGAATCTCATTATGTTTATGTGCACAAGTAATGCACAAACTGGCAAACAGAGGGAGAAAATGTGGAGGCAGTAATAGACTCTGTATTTCTAGGCGCCGAGATTATTGCAGACGCAGACTGCAGCCAGGAAATCAAAAGGCATTTACTTCTTGGAAGGAGAGCAATGACCAATCTCGATAAAATAGTTAAGAGTAGAGACATCACACTGGCAACGAAGGTCCTTAGAGTTAAAGCAATGGTATTCCCCATAGTAACACGGATGTGAGAGCGGGACCGTAAGGAAGGCTGAGCAAAGGAAGATTGACACTTTTGAACTGTGGTGTTGGAGGAAAATTCAGAGAGTGCCTTGAACTGCAAAAAGAACATACTAGTCCATACTTCTTCATGGTTTCTTTGACTCACACAAATGGGTCACTTGCACCTGTGTAGTGTATTGTTCAAAGCCTATTAAAGCTATTATAGAAGCTTCTTTGACAATAGTTCTGCCTGTTGGTTTCATCCCTGGACTGCACAAGTCTCTCGTGTCATCAAGTTTCCAGACCTCAAGTATCTAGACTAGAGATAGGATCAGGCTGAGGGATTCCTCCCCTCCACATTCCTATGCATGTTTCCCAAAAGGGCTTTGTCTTTACTCTTCCTCCTTGCCACTGTCTCCTCCCCTTTGATGATGTAGCAATGGAATTCTGTGATGGAGCTTCCTTTTTATTTTTATTGCCCTGGGCTGGCCTTGTGACCTTTTGCTATTGTCCAGTCTCTTCTGCTTTTTCTTTCTACCTATGAGGATGCATATTTTGCCTCTTTCTAGGCAAAATGTAGCTGCATGGACTTTTTACCCTTTTACTATTTTAGAAGATGAGATTTAGTAAGCTAGTTAGCTCCAAGACCTTTTCTATCAATAATGTATTTCTTTTACTTCAGTAAATATCTTTTGAACCTAAAGTTCTGACTCTGCAATCCTGGGCTATCCTAAGAATAGCTTATCCCAGTTTCCCCACATATAAGTTTCTGCTGGTTATGAAGTTTACTTCTGGGATGTATGGTGGAATCACCCCAACTGAGGGTTATTTTGAGCCTCACAGCTCAGATTCCCCAACAAGGCCCACTCCCCATGTACAACACCAATGCAATCACCATCTAAAATCTCAGTTCCATTGACACAAAAGCAGCAAACATCAAGGGGTGGATAAGCAGGTTTGTGTGAGTTTATTTGTCTATATTTATTTACTTTATTTATACCCCATTTTTCTCCCTGTGGAGACTTAAGGCAGCTCACAATCTTACACTTTAATCATAGTTTAAAGAGTGCTATATATATATATATATATGAAAAAATAAAAAATACAGTGTGAGTTCACTCAAATAACTTCAGTTATAGCTAAACAACCTGACCTTTTTCATGGGCTCCATGACTCATGCAGACTAGCAAACTGCTAGTCAGTGTGAGTCAGACTAGTAGCAGACTCATAGACCAGGAGTGAATGTCATGCCACACAGGAGAAGAGCACCTCTTTCCCAAACGCAGCCTCAATTTGAGACCTTGAATCCAAATTGAACTGAGATATGAAATTTAGTGGTCAACAGTTTTGAGAGATGTCATGGAGAAGAACCCCTTTTAGAAATGCAGCCAATGCTGTGACAGCTCTAGTTGAGTGATTTCTCACTTGATCAGGAAGCTGTTTGTCTGCTAGTTCATAAGGCAGACAAGTGGTCGCTGCAACCCACTCAAAAAATGTTGTATAGAGATAGGCAAGCCTATCTTCATGAATAGATCACACAAGGAAAACCTCTGAAGTGACAAAATGAAGAAGTGCAAGCAGCGTAAAAGGCCAATGCTCTGCAAACACAAAGGCAATGTAGAGAATGCAGAAAAAGCCACAACTTAATTGGCTGTTTGCATGCAGATTGCTAAACTCTTCCCTCTTGTCATTTTAAATTTCTATGGAAATTGCAATTCCATGCACACTTAACCAGAGAGCAAACCCCATTCAACATGACAGCAGTTTTTGTTTTTAACTAATTGGAGATGTTCACATTTTTGCTTGCATTTCACAATGCTGCTTTTCCATTTCTTTGCCTTTCAGTCAGCTACCTCCTCTTTGAGTGTTGCAAAAGGCAGGCACTTGAGCCGAGTCCTTCCAGAGTCAGAAAATGGTGCCTCAGCTGTGAAATTCCCTCCCTAAGGAGATTTGCCCAGTGCCTGCCTTACTAAGTGTCAGGCTCCAAATTCACACAGTGCGGTTCCTCTGGGATTTTCATGAATAGTCGTGTAGATGCTTTTGCTTCTCCTCCTACTTTCAGTCTGCTATTTTTCTGTGTGTGGTAAAAAGAAACAAGAAGGAAAAGATAATAAAATATATGTTATAACAAAATAACAGCGAGATATGTAGTATTATTTTTCTTTCTTGTTTATTTTTCACTGTCATTGGAAATAGCTATATTAATTCAAAAAAGACAGGCTATAAATCGTTCAAAAAAGAAGCGAAAGTGAAAGTCACACATGAGTAAAAAACACCTGCTCCACTTCTCTCTCTCTCTCTCTCTCTTTCTCTCTCTCTTGAAAGAGACATCCTTGGCTTCCTTCACATTTGATGGCAGCACAGGTGTATTTTGTGCTCAGTTACGGATACCCAAGCATAATTTGTCTTGGACTTTTTTGCTGACTGGGGCCAGCTGATGACATGAGTGGAATGCCCTAAAACAAATAAGAATTAATGGCCATTGAGTTTCTTTCAGGGAGCATTTAGATTTCAGAGAATCAAGAGTCCTTTGGGATTATAGAAAGCCAAATGAGTTAGAACAGCCTGCCAACTTAACTAAAACATTGAAGGGAAGTCAGGGCTCCTTGAGTCTTCAATAACAATAACACTTCTCTCGCTTTTCTTTTCACAGCTTCTTGCCTGACCTCCGCAAGGAACAGCTGTTGGAGTTCTCTTCCCGAGTAACCAACCTGGCAAGAGAGGCAGGATTTGTGCCAGTCCAAACAACAGACAAAAACATATTTTCCTTGTTCCAACTTGGGGTTCAGGAGGCTGGAGAAATCCATAGCAATACCTCCACCTGAGATTATCGCCTCTAGTCCCCGAGTTCATTCCTTCTCTTCTTTTTCACCATAATTGTTAAATAATAAATGCCATAGCTGGAAAAAAAAAACCCCTAGTGTTTTGGGTTTGTCCTCCATGCAATAATTGTTAACTCATGGGTTTTCAAATGCTGTAGTGGTTAAAGGATTTTCAACAAGACCCCTGTGCTGGCAGAACTAAAGACCGACAGGTCGCAGGTTCGAATCTGGGGAAAGGTGGATGAGCTCCCTCTATCATCTCCAGCTCCTCATGCGGGGACGTGAGAGAAGCCTCCCACAAGGATGATAAAAACATCAAAATCATCCGGGCGTCCCCTGGGCAACGTCCTTGCAGACGGCCAATTCTCTCACACCAGAAGCGACTTGTTGTTTCTCAAGTCACTCCTAACACGACAAAAAAAAAACCCCAAAAAACAAGACCAGTACTGTAATGGTAAATAATGGACAAGTTGTAATGGGCTACCTGTTTGATTTACTGTTATGCTTCACTGTTATCACATGCAGTAGTTTTTTCTTAGGGTTGCCCAGCAATGCCAAGGGAAAGGAAACAAAATTTGATGGTTCTGAGTGTTCCTCTTTGCCTTTCTTCTTGAATGTATGTAGAAAGCCTTGGATAAAAACTGTTCCAAGTGAGTTTTTGCTCCCCAGTCAGTGAAATACCGAGTCACCACAACAGTGTGGGATAAACTACGGGCAACTTTAATTAATGTTACCAATCAACCTTTGCCTGCTAACCAAATTAAAGGGTATGAACTTGGTGTGGAATAAGCTGAGGAAGTAGCCATCCAAGACCTACTCCTCGGCTAACATGGGTAAGACATCCGGGTCCCCGGATACAACAAATTGTTGCTTCCAAAGCCAGAGCTCTGGGAAACGGACTGATAATTCCATCCCAATTGCAGAGGATATTGAGACCAGAATTATAATAATATAATAATAACTTTATTTTTGTACCCCAGCTCCATCTCCCCAAAGGGACTTGGGGTGGCTTACATATGACACAATGGGCCCAAAACAACATGTAAAATAAACACCACAGTACAATACAAAAGTAAAACCAAGAGCATATAAAACAATGATTTAAACTCAAAACAGTGCCCAATAACCTATGGTGAGAACTGTCATAAAACATGGCCAACTGTAAACAAGAACAAGGGGATAGAATAGTGCAAGTTGTAGCTAATGAACAAGGGCATGGGATGAAAATCTAGTGCTGGGTCATTAATTGCGGACCACTGGGGCTAGACATTCACAAAGGCTCCCACAAATATCCAAGTCTTCAATTCCTTCAGGAATTGAAGGCCCTCTCCCTCGTCCCCACCAACCACCGAGAAGGCCCTCTCCCTCATCCCCACCAACCACCAAGAAAGCTGTCTCCCTCGTCCCCACCAACCATGCTTGTAACGGTGGTGGGACCATGAAGAGAGCCTACCCAGCAGATCTTAATGCTTGTGCACATACATAGGTGGGGGTGGGGGGGGGAGGATACAGTCATGAAGATAGGGTCCAAACCATTTAGGACTTTGTAAGTGATAACCTGCACTTTGAATTGGAATCGGAAACTTATCAGCAACCAGTGGAGCTATTTTAATAGGGGCATCATCCACTCCCTATAATTAGCTCCAGTTAGCAACCTAGCTGCCAACCTTTGCACCAGTTGCAGTTTCTGGGCCGTCTTCAAAGGCAGCCCCACGTAGAATGCATTGCAGTAATCCAACTTGGATGTAACTAATGCATGGACCACCGTGGCCAAATCAGGCTCCTCAAGGTACCATTGCAGCTGGCTCACATGATTGAATCCCCATGCACATCAATAATTTCCATGCAGAGGTGCCTTTCTACTCTGTTTGCAGTTTTAGATACTGCACCCCAGTTGCTGCTGTTAGGTACCAAAAATCTCAAATTCAGGAAAAGCATATCACACAAACACTTCTAGGAAACTCAGCCTTTCATTCTAGATTGAAGTCTCATTTACAGGTAAACTCTTTTTATTTCAAAATTTCCCCAAGGAGTGATTATATTCACCTCCTGCAATAAAAACAATGACGGGTTTATTCCTCCTAAAAGCTGAAACAGAGAAGACATTAGAGATGTAGCTATGGAGGAGGGCAAAACGAAGATATTGCCTTCTTGAAATAATTCTGTAAAATTTTCCTTCTGTTCCTAAATTTCTGCAGAGAGTGAGATACTGAACATTGGTTTTACATCAGTTAGTCCAAGATGCCTTAACACATTGCTCAAACCTTGCCAGAATTCTTCTATTTGCTATAATTACATTGACTTGGTAGCTTTGCTGAACCTTTCCTTTGGGTGCTTAATCTATGTTTCTAAATGTTGAACTAGAGTTTTAAGTTACTGTGGTGCTAAAAAAGATTGGGAACTGATGGAAAATGTCATTTTATTTAGTACAAGGGAAATCATTTTATTTAACCTCCACTCCAACCTTGCACCACTGCATGAACGTAACTATTTCTGCAATATTTGTAAAAGTTTGGGGAAACAATAACATAATTGTCAGTACTTTCTACAGTTAATTTCTCTCTAATCTTATTGTTACAATCTAAATCTTACCCAGTCTTGTGAACTTTTCTTCTATGATCAGGGTAACACCTCGTGCCCTTGATGAAGTGGGAGAGAGTCCACGAAAGGTCATACAAAAATAAATGTGCTGTAAAATTTGCTAAGCAGTGCTTCAGGACTCTCTGTTGTCTCTGCTCCCGTGTTAACAGACTTGTTCGCAGAGTGTTCAGACTTGGCACAATGGTTCATTCACACTCCTACGTAAAAACTCTCATTCCCAAACTGTTCACAAACCAATTTCTCTTAAATATACAGTGTGCCTCCATAACACATAGATTGTTTCCTCTAATGCATATGTACAAGTATGTATGCATAGTGATCACAGATGTACAATCTTATACTCCCAAAAGCCTTTCTAGACGTCATCTGTCTGATATGTAGCCATCTGTTTTGCTACTGGTCTTTCTTTGGAGCATACGATATGCGCTACCCCCAGCCTTTCACAGATTAAAACTATGACCCATGGCCAAGCAGTATCAGAGTATGGTCAAGGTGGTAAACGTTATTAATGAGGAAGACCACACAAGCTAGGAAAGGATGCAACATTTGGCTTTTGCCTGAGCCTACTGGCAAAAAGCAAGATTGCACCTCTTCATTTCCTTTCCCTTCTCAGCTGATTTAATTTAATGTTGCATACTATTTTCGTACTTTGAACTTAGTTTTCAGCACCTGAAATAAGATTAGGACAAAGTGAGAGGAGGAACAAGAAACTGTGATATTTGAAAAACAGTTTAAAAGTGGAAAGATAGAGGCTTAATTAGGACTGTCCCTGTCAAATGTGGTTTACATTTTGCTGGTGAATTTTGAAGATAATGTACGAGTGACTTTCCTATAGAGCCAGCGTTTCTCAATCTGGGGGTCGGGACCCCTGGGAGGTCTTGAGGGGGGTGTCAGAAGGGTCACCAAAGACCATCAGAAAACATAGTATTCGCTGTTAGCCATTGGGAAGTTCGGCTCAATCTATCGTTGGTGGGGTTCAGAATGCTCTTTGATTGTAGGTGAACTATAAATCCCAGCAACTACAACTCCCAAATGTCAAGGTCTATTTTTCCCAAACTCCACCAGTGTTCACATTTGGGCATGTTGAATATTCATGCCAAGCTTGGTTCAGATCCATTATTGTTTGAGTCCACAGTGCTATCTGGATGTAAGTGAACTACAACTCCAAAACTCAAGGTCAATGCCCACCAAATGTTTCCATTATTTTCTGTTGGTCATGGGAGTTCTGTGTGCCAAGTTTGGTTCAACTCCAATGTTGGTGGAGCTCAGAATGCTCTTTAATTGTAGGTTAACTGTAAATCCCAGCAACTACAACTCCGAAATGAAAGACTCAATCCCCCTCCCAACTCCACCAGTATTCCTATTTGGGCATATAGGGTATTCGTGCCAAATTTGGTCCAGTGAATGAAAATACATCCTGCCTATCAGATATTTACATTACAATTCATAACTGTAGCAAAATTATCATTGGTAGAGTTCAGAATGCTCTTTGATTGTAGGTGAACTATAAATCCCAGCAACTACAACTCCCAACTGTCAGGGTTTATTTTCCCCAAGTTTGGTCCATATCCATCATTGTTTGAGTCCACAGTGCTTTCTGGATGTCAGCGAACTACAACTCCAAAACTCAAGATCAATGCCCACCAAACCCTCCCAGTATTTGCTGTTGGCCATGGGAGTTCTGTGTGCCAAGTTTGGTTCAATTCTATCATTGGTAGAGTTCAGAATGCTCTTTGATTGTATGTGAACTATAAATCCCAGTAACTACAACTCCTAAATGTTAAGGTCTATTTTCCCCAAACGCCACCAGTGTTCACATTTGGGCATATTGAGTATTCATGTCATATTTGGTCCAGATTCATCATTGTTTGAGTCCACAGTGCTCTCTGGATGTAGGTGAACTACAACTCGAAAACTCAAGGTCAATGCCCACCAAACCCGTCCAGTATTTTCTGTTGATCATGGGCATTCTGTGTGCCAAGTTTGGTTCAATTCTATCATTGGTGGCGCTCAGAATGCTCTTTGATTGTAAGTGAACTATAAATCCCAGTAACTACAACTCCCAAATGACGAAATCAATCTCCCCCCCCCCCACCCCACCAGTATTCAAATTTGGGCATATTAAGTATTTGTGCCAAATTTGGTCCAGTGAATGAAAATACATCTTGCATATCAGATATTTACATTCATAACAGTAGCAAAATTACAGTTATGTAGTAGCAACAAAAATAATTTTATGGTTGGGGGTCACCACAACGTGAGGAATTGTATGAAGGGGGTCACCGCATTAGGAAGGTTGAGAAACACTCTCATAAGACTAATGTACACCTAATTGTCCAATATGATGACAGGCTGAGTTAAACAGCAGATGTTTTTCTAATTGATCTTTATCCCCTTTTGTCCTTTGTCCCCCTTTATGGTTGGGTTACCATAATGTGAGGAATTGTATTAAGGGGTCGTTTCATTAGGAACG